TAGGTGAAAGCCAGAAAGATAAGGTGGAGCTAAAGATGACTCCAAACTTGGGAGACTGGGTTGACTGGATGGTTATTCTGTGGACTAGGTAAGGTAATATAGGAGGAGAGGAGGGTCAGGTTTGAATTGAGGGAGGAGTTAAGATGGTGAGATGTTGATTTGGGCACATCTAAGTGGAGCTAGATAGGAGGCAGGTGGAAATGTAAATTTAGAGTTTTGCCGGGTGGGGGGGATTGGGGATTGAAATGTAGATTTGCACTTATCAGCATGTCAAGTCCTTTTGAGATCTTAACAAGTAGATGAGAATTCTCTAGAGCAGTGGTTCTCAACCTTCCTAATGCTGCGACCCTTTAATACAGTTCCTCATGTTGTGGTGACCCCCAACCATAAAATTATTTTCGTTGCTACTTCATAACTGTAATTTTGCTAGTTATGAATCGTAATGTAAATATCTGATATGCAGGAGGTTTTTTCATTGTTACAAATTGAACATAATTAAAGCATAGTGATTAATCACAAAAACAATATGTAATTATATATGTGTTTTCCGATGGTCTTAGGCGACCCCTGTGAAAGGGTCGTTCGACCCCCAAAGGGGTCGAGACCCCCAGGTTGAGAACCGCTGCTCTAGAGAGTCTGTAGACTGTGAGCTGACCTAAAGTTAGGATGAGAAGTGTATGTTGTTTTTATTAACTCTGTTTTAGTCCAAATAGTGAATAAAATCAGTGAGAAAATTTAGTTTAAACATTTAAAAAATAAAACGATAAACAAAAATTCAATAATATATAGTCTTAGTTAGAAATAAAAAGTAAATTGGTTCAGAGGGTTATAAGTAGGAAGTATGCTTCCTTCCCCCATTCCTCTCCCCATTCCAGTTTCTTGTATCTCCTTCCAGATGATTTTAGTGCATATTAAGTTTATGGTTTTATCTTTTGATTATACGGCACCCCATTATTGCTTTGGTTGGGAGTGTCTTTCCAGTGACTTAAAAGTATGGTTGGTAGCTTATAGGCATGTGACCAAAATGGAAGCTAGCAATCTACCAGATACAGAGTTCAAAACACTGGTTATAGGGATGCTCAATGAACTTAGAGGAAGAGTAGATGAACTCAGAGAGAACTTACAGAGAGAAACCGTAAACAACAACAATCAGAAATGAAGGATATAATAACTGAAATGAAGACGACTTAGATGGAATCAGCAGCAGATTCAGTGACGCAGAAGAGTGACCTGTGTTTTTGACTGAGGCCACATTCCAAAAGTTCTTTCAGAGTTGAATCTCAATTCCTTCAATGCATTTCATTTTAAAAGGGGCTGCGATAGAATCACATAGTATTTAAAAGCAAACTAATGGTTTAATTTCCTCCTTCCTAGACAGTGCAACCATCTGTTTACATTTACTTGGTCCTGCTGGTTTGGGTGTATCTCAAATCCAGGCGGATATCTTTTAAAGAGATATAGCCACAGCATTCCTGACATATAAATCTGCCACACATATTTTAGACTTAGGTGCTCTGAAAATTGCCTCACATTTTACTTTTTTGTTCAATTGAGAGAAAATAGTTGAAACAATTTTAGAGTTCAGAAGAGTTGGGTACTGGTATGACAATATTTTTAAATGTAGTTTTTTAAAGAGATGATCAGAATGTTATTTTTCTTGTGTTTTGATTGCTTTTGATTTTGTTTTGTTTAGCTTATTAGCTTATGTGTTATATTGTTAATTTTTAAATAATTTTCTATCTTCAGATAATGGCTCATTGCTAGCTATTCTCTTCTAAACATATTACAACCTTCTGCATAAAAAGTTTAAGTATTAAATATTGACACAGTCTCTTGGAGAAGAGATTGATGAAGACTTAAACCAGTTTTACAAATAGTTTTCATAAGTTCTTTGGGCAGTCAAATTGAATCAGTACCAATAGATCCCATGTATTATGCCTATCTGAATGTCTTTTCTTTGTCAAATACAGCTATTTTTTCCCAAACTGTTCTAACTTGCAGCATTCAAGTAACTTTCTCAAACTAACATTATCAGGATACAATATTCTAAACCATATTTAGCCCAGGGGTATGCATATATTAGTTTCTGTAGTTTTGTAAATTTTTATTAATTTGTTCTTATTAGTTTACAATCAGATATCTGATCAGGTTGCCTGAGAGGGCAAAAATCTTTTCTTCCTTTGGGACTTTTTATAACTCTAGTTCAGAGCTCACTTGAAAAATATGCTCCTGCCTGGTGGTGTGCTTCAGTGATTGAGCTTCGACCTATGAACCAGGAGGTCAGGGCTCAATTCTTGGTCAGGGCACATACCCAGGTTGTGAGCTTGATCCCCAGTGTGGGGTGTGCAGGAGGTAGCTGATCAATGAATCTCTCTCATCATTGTTTCTAACTCACTATCCCTCTCCCTTCATCTCTGTAAAAAAATCAATAAAATATATATTTTTTAAAAATTGACCAAAAAGTAAAAAGCTTTAAGTTATGATATCAAAAGTATGGTGGTTTGGTATCTGTATATTAAAACTCAGGTACCCCAAAGAATGTATGAAGCCAGGGATAATCTTGCAGAATTTGAATGAACACTTAGATGGAGGGGCAGAATGATTTTATGACAGTTACTGATTGCTGTATGCTTTGCATTGGATTTCATTTTCTCCTTTTATACAATGCTGGATCACTCACAAAAGTAAGCATTGTGTGTGTTTTCACAGGGGCCTAATGTTGATGTTTGGAATACTGTGATTGAGTGGCTTTAAGGACATAGAGCAGTAAAACATTTACAAATATTTTATTCTAAAACTGAATTTACTTTTGATCACTTTATTTATTAGCTAATATACTATTTTTCAGGATAGGCTTTCTCTGTTGATTTATATTTCTGTGTGCTTTTTTATTTTTTTCAATTATGGTTTACATTCAATGTTATTTTGTATTAGTTTCAGGTATAGTGGTTAGACAATCACATACTTTACAAAGTGTTCCCCCCGATATTTCTTGTTTTCTTTATTAGAACAAAGGAAATTATGTATTCTCCAACCATAGTATTTTAGGATCTATTTCATGAAATCAAATAACGAGAGAAAAGAGTCAGGCATTGTTCTTAGGCAGCCTCTCCCTCTGTTTTTTTGTTTGCTGTTCATCTGAATTATGTGTAACTTACTTCTATTGAAAAATAATGATGCCCTGTTTAGATCTTAGTGGGTTTTTTAAACTATAACTTAGGGAATTCCAAAGGTATAGTTATACAAATCTGTGAAGACTACTTAGATTTTTAAGTAGAAATCTTTCTTAGTGTTATTGAAGTAAACATTTTAAATCTCTCTTTCAGGTCCATCATGTTACACAAAATGGAGGACTGTATAAAAGACCGTTTAACGAAGCTTTTGAAGAAACACCAATGCTGGTTGCTGTGCTTACTTATGTGGGGTATGGTGTACTCACCCTCTTTGGATACCTTCGAGATTTCTTGAGGTATTGGAGAATTGAAAAGTGTCACTATGCAACAGAAAGAGAAGAACAAAAGGTAATTGTTAGAGAATCTTTAATTCTGTGAATGGAAGCCTTTTATAGAAATCTTGGTATTTTCTTTTTTTAAAATATTTTTTTTATTGATTTCAGAGAGGAAGGGAGAGGGAGAGAGAGATAGAAACATCAGTGATGAGAGAGAATCATTGATCAGCTGCCTCCTGCACATCCCCTACTGGGGACCGAGCCCACAACCCAGGTATGTGCCCTTGACTGGAATCGAACCCAGGACCCTTCAGTCCGCAGGCTGGTGCTCTGTCCACTGAGCCAAACCAGCTAGGGCGAAATCTTGGTATTTTCACTCCGTTTTTTCTTTAGATATTTTGGTACACATTAAAATAAAAATATTCCAGATGCAGTTAAACAAAGAAAGTTGGAAACAAGGTTAAAGGCATGAAGAAACTAAAGAACTTAACTTTTCTTGCCCTAGCTGGTTTGGCTCAGTGGATAGAGCATCGGTCAAAGGCACAGGCCCGGGTTGCGGGCTCAATCCCCAGTAGGGGGTGTGCAGGAGGCATCCAATCAATGATTCCCTCTCACCATTGATGTTTCTATCTCTCCCTCTCCTTTCCTCTCTGAAATCAATAAAAAATATATATATTTAAAAAAAAAAGAACTTAACTTTCTTTTCAGTCCTCATCGAGGATATGTTTTTTTCATTGATTCGAGAGAGAGAGGAAGAGAGAGAGAGAAACATTAATATGAGAGAGAAACATTGAGCCTTTGCCTCCGGTAAACGCCACAACTTGGGATCAAACCTGAAACCCGGGTATGTGCCCAAGTTAAGTAATGTTTCCTAAGGAGCTTAGTTTTAGAACTGGTATGCAGACACAGGTTGGTGAAGAGCCGAAAGCCATGTTCTTTCTGTTCACAATACCATATTGTATCCCAAGTTGTGTCCACAGTCATCTGAAAAGATTTTGTTCTATAGAACTCGGGATGTGTTTTCTCATAGACACATTATACATAAATGTCTGGTTCACAAATCAGGTCCTGTCCCCAAACAAATAAGCCCTAAAGCCGAATGGCTGAACTACTCTGTTTATAGTAGAAACCACCTTATGTTAGTAATGGTAAACAGAAGTGATAATGTCTCTGGGGAGGGGGATCTAATTCACTTCCCTTTTCTCTGTATACTCCTTTGCCTCTCTAGAGTTTTATACAATAAACACACGTTACTTATTCTCAAAAAGAAATAAAGTTAGAGTGAAATGCCTGATTTTACAAAAAAGAAACTCGTTCTTGGCAGGTGAAGTATGGAGAGGTTGTCCTGCAGCCCAGGGAGTGTACTAGATTAGAGAAGGGAATCAGAAGTTAGACTCTTGTTGTCCCTCACTTTTGTGGGTGTTAGAGGAGAGAGATGTAAGTGGCAGCAAGGTCACCACTGGAGAGGAGCCAGGAAACACTGGGAATGTATTGTGATCACGTGAGGGCATCCGGAAACATGAGAGAGGAAAAGGTCCTCCTCTGGAACTAGGAAGCCAAAGCCAGTCAGGATATAGATTGAAGATTCTGGCCCTGGGAAAAAGGGTCCAGGCATTCTTTGTCATCTCAACCATTCTGCATCCTTCCCAGCTCAAGCACCATAAGTTGGCCATCTTACTCTTTGCCCTGAAATCCCTACAAGTTAATTTCATTAAAAAGGTATTTTTTAAATACCTAATGCAAACAAAGCCCTGCATTCAGAACTTGATCCAGTTGGCCAAACTAATTTTCATAATTGAAAACCAGAACAAATTAAAATTTTCTTTACCCTTTTTTTGACCCCTGTATGTCTCAAATAGACTTTCTAGCTAACATGCATCCATGGTATGTTGATTTTTTTTTTTTTTTACATCCCTCAGGTATGGCTTACTTACCATAACTTACAGCTTACTATACACTTACTGTATAGTGTGGAATTGCAATTACTTGTTCACAGGCAATCTTTTCCTATTAGACTGAGTTGATGACAGTTATGACTGGATGGGAGCTAAAGTTTTATCACATATTCAGACTAGAAAATCTTTATCTACCGGGACCTCTCATAGTGTCAACATATTGTAGAGACCTAATAAATGACAGGTAGAGGTGGAGATGGGATGAGCTGATTATGGTATAGAGAGGATAGTATAGGTAAAGGCATGAGCAGTGTTTGGAACCAGTGTTTGGGTGTATGAAAAATTGTGTTTTGAATGTAAACTAAGAAGTTTGGTAGGCACCAAGGAGTCCTGGGCAGTTTTTGAACAGGAGAATGACAATAGAGTTTGCACAGCTGGTGCTCTGTCAAGCATGATGAATGGAAGGGACAGAGGGAGGGGATTCATCTGAATTACTTGGTGAATAAGTATAGTATCTTTGGAACTTGTTTCATGTTTCAGGGTAAATTGTTTAACTATTGAGGCTATCTATGTGAAAGAATTGGAACTACTCTGTTTATTCTTTTAGTTTCTAATTTTGTTGAAGAAACATTAACACTTTGAATTTATAGGCCTTTGCAAAGCTTTCTATACGTAAATAGTCCTTGAATTGTATGCAGATTTAGAACAAAAAAGTAAACTGAGTAGCATAGGATTAGTCAGGAAACAATTTTTGGAGGAAGTAATAATAAATATTACTTTTTTATTTATTTTTTTATTAATCCTCACCTGAGGATATTTACCATTGATTTTTTTAGAGAGAGTGAAAGGGAAGGGGAGAGACAGAGAGAGAAACATTGATGTGAGAGAAATGCATCGATTGATTGCCTCCCACAGGCGTCTCAGTGGGGCCCAGAGATTGAGCCTGCAACTGAGGTACATGTCCGTGACTAGAATCAAACCAGGGACCCTTTGGTCTGCCAGTTGACACTCTATCCACTGAGCCAAACCAGCTAGGGCTATTTATTTATTTATTTATTTATTTTATTGTTGGCAGTATTACAGATGTCCCCCATCCTCCCATCCCTTTCCTCCCCTCCACCCAGACCACACCCCAGATCTTCACTACATTATTGTCTGTGTCCATGGGCCTTGCATATATGCATATAATTCTTTGATTACTTTTAGAGGGAAAGAAAGAATAATTCATCGTTATGGTAGAGCTTGTTTTCTGATGCTGGATTAGATGTAGTCCAGGGATAGGCAAATTTTAGTGTTAATATTGGAAAGAGGTGAGGGAAAGTGCTTGCTTGGGATCATAAAATCCTATATAATAAAAGCCTAAGATGCTAAGTGTCCAGTCGTCTGGCCAGCCATTCAACCAATCAAAGCGTAATATGCTAATGATTTGCTAAGGCTGCTCTACCACTCACTATGACATGCACTGACCATCATGGGAAGACGCTTCGACCAGTAGGTAAGCTTGCTGCTGGGATCCGGCCTATCCGGACTGAGCCAGATGGGCTGGACATGCCCTGGAACCCTCCCGCAGTCCCTCCCCAACTGGCCAACCTCCCACGTCCCTCCCTGGCCCCGATCATGCACCAGTGGGGTCCCTTGGCCTGGCCCTGTGCCCTCTCGCAATCCAGGACCCCTCGGGGGATGTCCGACTGCTGGTTTAGGCCTGATCCCTGTGGGCCTAAACTAGCAGTTGGACATCCCTCTCGCAATCCGGGACCGCTGGCTCCTAACTGCTGGCCTGCCTGCCTGATCGCCCCTAACCACTCTGCATGCCTACCTGATCACCCCTAACCACTCTGCCTGCCTGCCTGATCGCCCCTAACCATTCACCTGCCTGCCTGATCACCCCTAACCACTCTGCCTGCCTGCCTGATCACCCCTAACCACCTCTGCCTGCCTGCCTGCCTGATGCCCCTAGCTGCTCGCCTGCCTGATCACCCCAAACTGCTCACCTGCCTGCCTGATCACCCCTAACCACTCTGCCTGCCTGCCTGATCGCCCCTAACCATTCACCTGCCTGCCTGATCACCCCTAACCACTCTGCCTGCCTGCCTGATCGCCCCTAACCATTCACCTGCCTGCCTGATCACCCCTAACCGCCTCTGCCTCAGCCCCCACCACCGCGGCTTCGTCTGGAAGGATGTTTGGCTGTCCGGTCTAATTAGCATTATTACGCTTTTATTATTATAGATTAACTTAGGTTGGCACCAAGCCCAGACCTGAGGCCTTGAAGCTCAGTGGTTTTCTGACTAGTAAAACTGTAGTACAGTTTTGTTTGTTTGTGTGTTTTACCTTTTACCTTCAGGATTTAAGTAGATTCTGTGTGGTCTAGTCATGTGTGTTCTGAGCAATGGTCAAACCACATGGGGCATAGCATATTCATTCATTTTAGCTCATGGTGACTTTATTTTTTACAGGCTTAATTTTAGTATACTTCAGGGATGAAAAAAAGGGTGGTGTTAAGTCCTTGATCATGGAAATTCATTTTGAGAATTTTTTTATATATGTATTTTTAAATTTTTTTAAAACTATTTTTCATTATTATTTATTTTTAATCCTCACCTGAGGATATTTTTCCATTGATTTTTAGAGAGAGTGGAAGAGAGAAGAAAAGACAAACATTGATGTGAGAGAAACACATCGATTGGTTGCCTCCTACACGCACCCTGGCCAGGGCCTGCACCAGGGAGGAGCCTGCAACTGAGGTATGTACCCTTGCCAGAATCGAACCCTGGACCCTTTGGTCCGCAGGCCAACGCTTTATCCACTGAGCCAAACCAGCTAGGGCTGTTTTTAAATTTTTATTAAAAACTCCTATCTAAGGAAAGAAACCAGACGCAGGGATCTTTCTATAAGCTACTTAAGAGTTTCTTGCTTTTATCATTTTTCTTTGAATTAATTTCATTTTGATCCTTGAAAATATGCCAAGAATGGAATCTTAATTTTGGAATTATTTTTCTTGTTAGAAACTGAAATTATAGGAGTTTTTATGGCATTTTCCCCAGTCAGTATTTTACTTGGGGTAGGGGGCAGAACACTAGTCTTTTTTATTTTATTAGGAAGGAAAACCTTTAATGACAGAAATGTACAACTAAGTTTATTTTTAGAGGCCTGCTTTATTCAATTCTTTGGCTCTGCATTCAACCATTTCTTTTAGATCAATCATCAAAGCTATGTGACTTTTACCTAAGGGTTGTTTTAAAATAAACAGAATTTATGCCTTTCAAAATGTTTTCTGTGTCAGTTAACTCAGTATAATTTTATTTAACTAATCTTTTAAAAAAATATATTTCTACTAGAAGCCCAGTGCACGAAATTTCATGCACTGGGTATGTGTGTGTCAGGGAGGGGGGTCCCTCAGCCTGACCTGCGCCCTTTCACAGTCCAGGAGCCCTTGAGGGGATGTCCAACTGTGGCTTAGGCCTGTGGGGAGTGGGCCTAAGCCGCAGTCAGACATCCTTAGCACTGACTGCTGCAGAGGCAGGCTTGGCTCCCACCACCGCAGCTGTGCTTGCCAGCTGTCAGCCTGGCTTGTGGCTGAGCAGAGCTCCCCCTATGGGAGTGCACTGAACACCAGGGGGCAGTTCCTGTGTTGAGCGTCTGCCACCTGGTGGTCAGTGCGCATCATAGCGACCAGTCATTCCAGCGACTGGTGTTCTGCCGTTTGATCAATTTGCGTATTACCCTTTTATTATATAGGATTGATTTTAGAGAGAGAAAGGGAGAGGGATAGAGAGATAGAAACATCAATGAGAGAGAAATATCGATCAGCTGCCTCCTGCACACCCCCTATTAGGGATCAAGCCCACAACCCAGGCATGTGTCCTGGTCAGGAATTGAACCTCAACCTCCTGATTCATGGGCCAATCACAGAGCCATGCTGGCCGAGCTAACTCAGTATAATTGACCTCTCATTCTCAAGTGCTATTGCAATATGAAAAGGGAAGTTGTAAATTGTTAAAAAGTAACTCAGTTAAATTTATGGTATTTCACCATTTGTTGGTAGGACTTTGTGCCATTGTATCAGGATTTTGAAAACTTCTATACAAGGAATCTCTACATGAGGATTAGAGACAACTGGAATCGACCAATCTGTAGTGTGCCTGGAGCCAGGATGGACATCATGGAGAGACAGTCTCATGATTACAACTGGTCATTCAGGTAAGTCTTGTTTGGGAAATTATTTCCTAACAACAAAAAAAGGAATTTTTTGACTTTTTAAAATATTCTATTGCAAATTTGACAGTATTTTGTCAAAACAGCAGTGGAAGCTGAGAATACAATATAATGTGATTAATTTCCTTGCATATTGTTCATTGTTATTGGGATGTTTAAAATACATTTTTTTATTAGTTTGATACTGTGTTGGGTTATAGTTGAAAGCAAAATTTGACCTAGTAAAACAAAACAAGCCCTAGCAGTTTTGCTCAATGGGTAGAGCATTGGCCTGTGGACTAAAGGGTCCCAGGTTTGATTCTGGTTAAGGGCACATGCCTGGGTTGCGGGCTCAATCCCCAGTAGGGGGCGTGCTGGAGGCAGCCAATCAATGATTTTCTCTCATTGATGCTTCTATTTCTTTCTCCCTCTCCCTTCCTCTCTGAAATCAATAAAAATATATTTTAAAAAGACAACAACAACAAAAAAACAACACAAAGAAAAACTGTCCTTTCTATTATACTACTTACCAGAATCAAGTATCTGAATTTATTTCTGGATGTTTTGATTTCTCAAATGATTCAAGGATATGTAGAGTGTTTTTACTTAAATGGGTTCAATAGTTTAGAAAACTTTATAAAATTTTATTTTGTTTAGATTGCTCAAGTATTACATGATTGCATTGCTATTAAAAAAAAAAAAAAGACAAGCAATAAAGATAAATTGAAAGTCCCCATGAGAACTAACCACTATTCCTTTGCAAATCCACTGCCCTACTAATCCTCACTCCCCAGAGGTAACCACTGTTATCAGTTTGTAGTGTGTTATTCCGCCAGGTGTTTTCTGTGGGATATGTATATAATGTATCTAGTAGGGTTACACACAGTTTTTGATTTACAAAAATGGCATCATACTATAGAAATGATACTGCATCTTGTTTTTTTTACTTGCTAACGTATCAGTAACATCTTTGTGTATATTCACAGCAAGCTCATTATTTGTAGTGGCTACTTAGTATTCTACAATTTTGATGTATATAGTGTACACATGCAGGTTGGGCTGCATCATCCTGTGTTAAAAACTCCAAAATCTCAAGTTAGAAGATTGGCAATTTATTTCTTGTTCATACTTCATGTCCATCTTAAGTTGGATGTGCCTCTGAACCATGTCGTCTTCACTTGAGGGGTCAGACTGTCTGAGCTTCCACAATTAGGAATGTCACTGGTTTGTGTGCCTGGGAAAGAGACATGGTCACAATTGTATTGTGACTCTTTCTTTTCCTTTGGTTAATCCTCACTGGAGGATATCTTTTAATGGATAAGTACTGTCAAACTGCCTTCCAAAAAAAGTACTCTGATATTCTTTTTTTTTTTTTAAATATATTTTATTGATTTTTTACAGAGAGGAAGGGAAAGGGATAGAGAGTTAGTTACATCAATGAGAGAGAAACATCGGTCAGCTCCCTCCTGCACACCACCTACTGGGGATGTGCCCGCAACCAAGGTACATGCCCTTGACTGGAATCGAACCTGGGACCCTTCAGTCCGCTGGCCAACGCTCTATCCACTGAACCAAACCGGTTAGGGCAGTACTCTGATATTCTTATCTACAGTGTATGAAATAGTCCTGACCAATGCTGGCTATGGTCAGTTTTTAAATCTTTATCATTATTGATAAGCAAAAATTGGTATTTTAACTTTCATTTCATTTATTGGTAGTGAGTTTGAGCTATTTTTCATTTAGACCATATTCTCTCTGTTTCTTATATATATTGCTTCCTTTGGTATTACCAATACATTTATTATCATATGTAAGTGTTTGACCATGCCCATGGGTTTCATGAACATTCATCCTATTGAAATACAGGTACACAGGGAATACGATTAAAGGTGTTATAAACATGGGTTCCTACAACTATCTTGGATTTGCACGAAATACTGGATCATGTCAGGAGGCAGCTGCCAAAGTCCTAGAGGAGTATGGAGTTGGCGTGTGCAGCACTCGGCAGGAAATTGGTGAGTGTAGTCTGTTGGGCTAGCTTATGTTCTTAACTTTTTTACTCAGGAGGGAGTAATATGGATAGAGTGCTAGAATATTCAGTGTCCAAATACATACTTTGCCATGTAGTTTACATCAGATAAAGAATGCTTTATTTTTCTGAATTGATGGATGATTTTAATGCTTTCAACACATTTTGAGATGTATTTTTCTTTTCCATTATGTTATACATACAGAGTATGTTCAGTACTATTGTTTCATTTATAACTTTAGTGTTGACTTTATTGACTTTTGCAAATGATAGTTCATTAAAGAGCACCACTTCATATCTGAGCCTGTGAGCATATGAAAGTTAATCTATTTCCCTACTGGTAATTTGGGGCTAATAATAATTCCTACCTTATAGGGTTGTTTTAAGAAGCTAATTCATGTAAAGTGCTTGTAACATGGTAAATACTCATTAAATGCTAATTCTTTTTATTAGTAGTACAAGTCTATAAAATGTAAAAGAGAACAGATTTATGTAAAGAGATTTTATTTAGTTAAAAGGAAAATTTCAAATTCTTCATTTTGTTCTAGTGACTGATAACCATAGAAATTATAAGGCATCAGTCTGGATATTTATTACTGTGAAGCACATCAAAACTTAGTGGATTAAAACAATTCAGCACAGCCAGTGTGGCTTAGTGGTTGAGCATGGGCCAGACCAGGAGGTCATGGTTTGATTCCCAGTCAGGGCACATACTCGGGTTGTGGGCTCAATCCCCAGTAGGGGGCATGCAAGAGTCAGCCAATCAATGATTCTCTCATCATTGTTGTATCTATCTTTACCTTTCTCTTCCTCTCTCTGATTAAATAAAGAATAAAAAACAATTCATTGTTATTCTCATGGGTCTAGAGCAGGGGTCCTCAAACTTTTTAAACAGGGGGCCAGTTTACTGTCCCTCAGACCGTTGGAGGGCCGGACTATAGTTTAAAAAAAAACTATGAACAAATTCCTATGCACACTGCACATATCTTATTTTGAAGTAAAAAAACAAAACGTGAACAAATACAATATTTGTATTTGCATGTGGCCCGCGGGCCGTAGTTTGAGGACCCCTGGTCTAGAGATTGGCAAATACAGCTGGGTTGTTTTCACTTAGGGTCCCTAATGATGTGGTTAAGGGAGCATTAACAACATATAGAAATCACACATCTTTATGGCAGTTTATATTTTATAAAGTACTTTTTCATAAAGTGCAGGCCAAGGTCAACTAATGCCTGTCTTCTGCCTGGGGACACCCAGCATGAGCTACAAAGCAATCTGCAGATGGCTGCTACTTATGCTGGGCTTGGAGTGCAGCAAGGCAAAGCTGCAAACCAAGGCTGGCTGCTGCTAGTGCTGGGCCTGGGGCCACTTAGTGAGAACAACAGGGCATGCTGAGGCCAGATGCTGCTTGTTTGAGAGATTTTAGGAAAATCTGAAGCACAAGCCAAAACAGGCTATTCGTTTGGAAAAGCAACTGGAAACAGTTTGGGTGGACCCACAGTTGGGTGGGATGGGGGTCTCAGGGAATCACCAGGGCCAGGAGAACAGTGTCAGCCAGGTTCATGGAGACTCAAATACGGTGCACATCTACCAGTTCTGTGGGTGGGGCATGAGGAGGGTCTCAAAAAAGGAACAATGGCATCTGCCCCTCCAGACAGTTCAGTTCCTCCCTTTGTTTCCCTGGTGCCTTTTGAGCTGCTGCCCCAATGCTGGAACCCAGAGGGAATGAGCCAGAGCAAGTCTACGCATGGACCCTTTAAGAGAAACTGCCTAGGACTCCAGCAGCCCTCCATCTCACTCAGCCACAGTCAATGCTAGTTTTTACCCCCAGAAATTATGTGGACTTCTCTTCCTGGCACTGGAACCCTGGGCTGGGAAGCTGAGTTGGGGGCTGGGACCCCTCACTTCTCAGAGGGGACCTCCACAGCTGAGATATCCCTCCTGATTTTTTAAAAAAATTTTTATTGTTTAAAGTACAGGTAGTCCTCAGGTTACGTCGGACTCGATGTAGGTTGTTACGTGGTTACGTCACCATCTCCCATTTACAGCATTTATAAAAAAAAAGTTCCGTCCTTTTGACATATGTACATATGTGCTTTATGTTTTTTATTATTTATTTACCACAAGTAAAGGTCAGAAATTGGTATCTTTCTTTTAAATTTTTTTACTGTTTCACTTCATTACTGCTGTGTATGTGCTCCATGTGAGTGATGTAGGTGCTTATGTAGGTGGATTCTGACTTACGGCGAAAATCGCGTTACATTTCGCCGTAGGAACGGATCTCCGACGTAACCCGAGGACCTACTGTATTACATATGTCTCCTTTTTCCCCCCATTGACCTCTCCCCAGCTATTCCCACTCCCTAGCACATGACCTCACCCCCCTACTCTCTGTGTCCATGGATTATGCTTATATGCATGCATACAAGTCCTTTGGTTGCTCTCTTAAACCCACCCC